ATTGTTATGAGTGAATTTCCAATTGAATGCTGCATTTTAATAACATAAACTTACTATATTAGTGACAATTTTAGGAAAAAATGGCGGCCATTTTGAAACAGCTGGCAACCCCCCTTACGTATGAAAAAAAAATGTTGCACATACTTTTTTGATTTATCAATGTCTACTCTACATTATATCCAATTTTTTAAAAATATGGCAAAAAAAAATGCAACCTCTGATATTGCTACATTTCGGACTGGACTAATAGGCCTAATGGAATCAGTGAATTTATTATATATAAATAATTGTAAGTTAACCTTTCCTTATTTATATATACTGAAACCAGTAACTTTATTATGTTTGGTTATCCTTTCATTATCTATATATAATAAAATCAGTAAACTAATTATATATAAATAACGAAAACGTTAACGCAATTATTTACATATAATCTTTTAGACGTAAATGCATTATATATAAATAATGGGTGACTTATTCAATTATATGAATTACATATAAATAATTGTGTTAAATAATAAATTTACACTTGGCGCCTCATAACTACCTGGGTTGGCAGCTTTGTTAGTAAGTCCTCAAGAATACCGATGACATTTTGTGTGTTATCAATTGTTTTATCTTTAACTGATACTTTTCTTCCACTTGTATTTTTGCATGCATCGCTTTGTACTTCCCCTCACTCGATTCAGAATCACTCAGAAGGGCACACGTCACTATATCAGGATCTGGTTTAATCTCCGACTCTATCAAATGATCTGTTATGCTTTGTTGCAGGTATTTGTCATGTGACCAGGTTTTTTGCACTTTTATACCGTGCTTTTTAGCTTCGTCGGGCAGTCGTTTAATTTGTGGCCCGTTAAACTGCATTCATAGCATGTTAGATCTATTTTCTGATCTATATGGAAGATTCTCGCTTTGAAATTATTTATCTTAAGCACCCTCAGAAGACTTCCTTTGAATGGTTGAACAAAAACAGCTCTGCCTCCATTTACAAATCTTGAAAGCTTTCCATTGATTAGAAACTTGATAAATTGTATTTCTCTTTGGATATTTTTGCATCCAATTTTTTTTTAAGGCAATTGTAATTTCTTCATCCCGAACAAAGGTATATCCTTAACTAGGATTCTTATTTCATTTTCATCTCCGGCGATATATGGGTTGACATCATACACTTTAACCTGTTTTCCATTTATTTTTAAACCAGAAATGATTGATTTCACTCTTTCGCTGTGATCATCTATATAAATTCTCCAAAGGTTTCTAATTTTTGGGTTCTGAGGTGGTCACAATTGATGACATCACTTAACGAAAAATAAAGTACCTCTTCTTTGAATCCTCGTTTTTGTTTCTAATTTCAACATCCTTAAGAAAGATACTGGCTTTACGTTTAATCTTTTGTTATAGTTAATAGTAGTCGTGGCAACAGACGTTCGGGAACAAAAGCTTTTCAAATTGTGTTCACTCGAGCGTGAACTGTCAAAACGACTCAATAGAGCTGGTTGTTAGGGTAAACAAGGGTTCTTACCGACCGTTTGCTGAGTTGTTTTGGCGGGTTGATTAAATTTATTTTCTCTAGCAGGCTTGGTTCAAGAACTGCTTTCAACTTCGTTCTATGATTATCAGAAAGAAAATCAATCAAACGATCTTTGACCACATAACGTTCCAAATTACAAATTTTCAGGATGATTCCGAATTTTTTTTACAAGAAATCAGAAAAAATGTGGAATTTTATTGTTAGTTCTTTAGTGTACGTACACATAAAACGCCACCAACGATCTTTTCTTTTCCTAATATTTAATGCAGGGACGTATCCAGGGGGGTGGGGAGCCGTGGGAGCCACGGCTCACCCCCCCCCCCCTTTGTACACAGTGTTAAAATTTTAAAGCTTATTCTTGAGCCAATACAAATTCTTTCCTGGGATCACTTAAAATAAATACTTCTAAACATGTAAATATGCATCAGTACACGTTATACATAGGCCTAATAGAACACATAGGCCTAAGCGTGATTTAATAAAATCTTAAATCCATAAATCTCAGGCCAGGTCTTTTAAGATAGCAATGCGATACTGTGGTTCAATTTCGTTTTTATCCTTTTGCAAGTTTCTTTAAATGTTTGTTTAATAATACTACTACTAATAGTAATAATAATAATAATAACAATGATGATGATGACGATAGTAATAATTGATATTAGTAGATGGATTTCACAATAAAAAGTGAAGAAAATTGTGCTAAATGCGAAAAAAAAGTTGTGATTTGTTGATCATAATATAGTATATATAGTTCAAGCTTAGTAAGCTATAATGAGGCCTAAGTTGTCCTGGATTTTAAGTAGATCCCTGATAAAAGATCATGAGAAATTTGTTGGCGTTTCATTTTGACTATAATGGTAATGTGATGATGATGAATTTTATTATATAATAGTGTCATTTCCGGCCATCTCGACAGGTACTATTTCCTCAAATTTTCTCACCTCAGCCCCAGCCATGATGGGGCTGAGGTGGTTGTGAAATCACGTTTTTGAAGTAGCCCTATGTAAAGTACATACTCACAATGTTTTTAAGCTTTTTTCTATGTTTTTTTTTCTATGGTATATCACACACACATTAATAAGAATATGATCTCTATGGTTGTCAAAAATCCCTGATAAAAGATCATGTTTGTTTAATAATACTACTACTAATAGTAATAATAATAATAACAATGATGATAATGACGATAGTAATAATTGATAATATTAATAGCAATAAAAAGTGAAGAAAATTGTGGTAAATGCGAAAAAAAAGTTGTGATTTGGTGATCATACTAGAGTATATATAGTTAAAGCTTAGTAAGTTATAATTAGGCCTAAGTTGTCCTGGATATTAAGTAGATTCCTGATAAAAGATCATGAGAAATTTGTTGGCGTTTCATTTTGACTATAATGGTAATGTGATGATGATGAAT